TAATTAATTTCTTGTTTCATTGCTTTGCATTTATAATGTTTGTTTTAGAGCAAATAAATCAATTTGTAAATAGGCAACTTGGATAACTGCCACAGCTCTAAAAACTGGTTAAACAGGATCATGGTGCAAAAAAAAAGAATTACTACATTCCTGCCACATTATGATGCTAAGCTGCCCAATAAACTAAAATAAGTAATCCTTTTTTGTTTTTCTGTATATAGTTTTTCTGAGTATAAGTTTATATTCAACAATCACTGAATGATTGAACCTTTTAAGTAAATTGATATTACCCCATGATAAACATTCAATATGAATTGTTCATTTAAGATAATAAAATGCCACACTGAACTGCAGCTTGTCATAAACAGACCTACATGTAAACAATCTATTAACATTAACAAAACTGCATACACCACAAATAATTGGTTAAAGTTTCCTGAATGGAAATCTTAAAGATCTCACTGTAAGCTGCCATCTAGTCAAGATGCAACTTCTACTTTTAAAATCAGCCAATCAAGTGGTAGAAGCCAAGAAAGTGGGGGTGTAGCATGTGCAGGTATCCACAATAGTGTGTACTCCTATTTACTGCTGTCTATTACTTTTATGTTCACAAGCAGAGTGAGAATATGAACCCGGAGAAGAGATCCAGTTTAAGATTCTGCTGATATGGAGGATTTCCATGTGCTCAAGGCACGTTACAAAGCTGCCAGCCTTACTGAAGCCTTATACACTTAAAAAAAAAATCCCGTTAAAAAGTAATTCTAACAATTTGTCCTTATAAAAGTGCCTACAACATAGCATTAATACATGCATTTCACACAGGCTTGGCTTGACTGTTAAATAAAAAACCATGACTGCACGTGCCCTAGAAAAAAACTACCCTAAAATAGCCCGAGTTTGACTGCCTCCATGCCGCAAGTAAATAGGAAGAAGCCAACTGCCTGAGCAACAGAGCCGTGTAAAAAATACGACACGGACCAAAATGTTACAGAACAAGCAGATACAAACCGAGTCAGATTGGTATCAACTCAAAAGCAAACACAGTGCTTTCAAAGCCAGTGACCTACCTGCAAGCTCATTTGCTGGTCATAAAATCCCTTTCGCTCTCCTACAGTTTACGGCTGTTGTAAATGTGAGTTTTACCCTCCAGTGTTTCCATAGCGGAGGTAACGGTAGCAGTAGAGGGGCAGGACAGCACCATAGCAGAGCTCCTTAGAAGGGCTGCCGGGCCACGGCATTGCCGCACATATTCCGGGAAAGCGTGTCATCGGGCCGCTTAAGCCGCCCAAAGAATTGTCCATCTCACATGCACGCACTAATCTATGCAGGGTCACTCGAGGTAATCCCTATTCCCTACCGAGCGCTCTTCTTTGATTGGCACTCACAGCAGCACACTGAGTTTCTGGGCCTGTCAGATGGCTGGGCTGTACCAACACAGCTATTTCAGAGAGGGGTGGCTTTTTATCTCGCTCACTCTCTCTCTCCGAGGAACAGAAGAAAGAGGAAATGGAAACACACAGCACACACTCAGCGGATAAGCTGCCAGCGCTGACTCTGTCTCGCTCAGGGTTTTTTTTCTTTTCGCTCGCCCTACATTCCACTGCTCTTTCGCTCACTCCGTCCTCTTCCTTCCCCCCTCTAATGACTCACTCCACTCACTGCTTTTGTTAAGTCACACCAGTAGCTTCAAATCCACAACATCCTGACGTGCATTAAGGCAAAGAGAAAAAAAAAAACCTTAAATTCTCCACAACCACAAGATGTTTTGGGAAAAGCACTAGAGCCACTTAAGCAACTGACTTGAATCTTAAAAGGTCCCATCGGCGGTACAGCGAGAACAAGCAAAACTCATCCTGAGCACACACAAACACTCAAAGCCGAAGTAAAAACAATAAGTGTGGCTTGATATTGAGTAAGAAAAAGGTTTAACGCTGTGAGAATGGGTCTGCGGAGAGCATTTCTCCGCCATCCCAACTCGTCTATTACCAACCAGGGAGCTCTATGCAAGTCAATGGGACTCCCTGTTAGTTAACCAAGGGATCCTCGTGTGTGAGGTGCTCTGCGGATTGGTCCATTTGGGCCAATCCGGTAATTTGTTATTGATTTGGGTGTTCACACGTCACAGAACCCAGGAAGCAAACAATGGAATGAGAAATGTCCAACGAGGCGTTCTGAGGCAGCATAGACAGGTCTTTTCTGTGTTAGAGTTTTACTCGCTACAGGGTGTACTTTGAGGGTTTGTGACTTTGCAGACCGTTTACATGCAGAACAACCTTCATAACACACAAGGGGACGGGTAATAACCAGAAAAGCATGACATGGGCCCTTTAAGT